CTGTGACCCTGTTACACACACTGGCCCTTGTAAAAGATATAATAGGATAGTGAGGTGAGGTGAAATGGGGTTTAACGTCGCGTCCAAGATTATTGCACTTATATTGCAACGTGCATACACGTGTGTGTGTGGCTGCTTGTACTAGACTAATGCCGATTTATAGTACTAGCTCACTGAGATACCATGTCGCAGTTTAACATGAATATCCCACTCAGACACAGTATACTGACTCCGAGCGGACCAGTCCTTGTTTTAGCCCCTTAAAGCCGAGCGCCAGACAGGGTAACAAGTACCATTTTTAAACGCCTTTTGGTATGACGCGGCTGGGATCGAACCCGGACCTTCCGCTCTCCGGGCGGACGCTGTACCACTAGACCACATAGGCGGTCCTGATAGGACAGTGCATTCCTGAGACTCGTGATATTAATTGATCTAGCACTATTTAAGGAACGACACTAGGACCTGTGGTTACACATGACATTTTGTCTCATAATTGCGGTCTATATCTAAATACGTGTACCTACGCGAATCTCTACACTGAGCACATAAAACAACCATGGCGGATGAGGGAGAGTGGTTTGGGTCTGCGGGGATGTTTTCATAGACAGGATATATTTCCACCAACTGGTTCAAACCAGTTCAAAAAACATATTTCTTAGGATTTCCATCACGCCAAGCATAAGACGCAAGGACAAATTACCTTTTTCGTATTTTTCAGGAAGAGATAAAGACAATCCCGCAAAATCGGAAGTTCACAGCGGCTTCAACCTTCATCGTTGGCCTGGCTGGTTGTGTGTAATCGCACCCCGACGACTTGGATGTGTCTCACTCCATTGACCCAGGACCACTTAAGTGACTTAAGCCACTTTGCTGACAGTGAAATCAAACCTGCCTCGCTGATTATTGATTTCTTCTTGTAAACCTCCATCTCGTTACCTGGCGTGACACCTGTCCCTGTCCGTCAATCATGCTTTGATGTTGTGCACTGTATCTCACCGCTTGTCAGATGGCTCGGCTAATTAAGACATATCACTCTCCTCTCTGACTTGGCTCCGGCGATAAGGCGCTTACTTCACCACGCGTCTGTTTCATGAGACTTGATGTATTCAGATCGGCAGATATGCTCTTCATGAATATTTATGAGTGCTACTCAGACTCCTTTCCCTAAAAAAATTTTCTTTTACAAAAATATTCTATTGACCAAATTGAAATTAAAATTCGAGTGAAAATCATGTGCAGTATACCCTCATATGAGCCAGGTTTGGTATATGTATACCTACCCTGTACAATTGTATAAACTACGAAGCCTTATGTTATTGCGAGTCCGGTATACAAGGTCAGAAAGCTATGTTGTTTGTTGTTTAACGCCGCACTCAGCAATATTCCAACTATATGACGGCGGTCTGTAAATAATCGAGTCTGGACCAGACAATCCAGTGATTGATATCATGAGCATCGATCCAAGCAATTGGGATCGATGACATGCATCAACCAAGTCAGCGAGCCTGACCACCCGATCCCGTTAGTCGCCCCTTACGACAAGCATAGTCGCCAGTTACGGCAAGAATGGGTTGCTGAAGACCTGTTCTACCCCGGATCTTCACGAGTCCTATGCACTCGTATTCCCTCATTACATAAAGACATAATATACACCTGGTTAACTTTCTCTATATGCCTGTTCTCTATCATTACTCATACTTCACCATGACCTGTACAACTCGCTGTACAGAGTTGCGTCCCTTGAGCAAGCCAGAAATCTATGATTGTGGATTCGAATCCCGGTTCTATCCGATTATGTTTCTAAGTTTGTCAGCATAATACCCGTGTTTGGTGAGTTTTACCAAAAAGGTAAACGTCTGTAACCTGCATCACTTCGGGCTTACCTCCCACTTTAAGCCGACACGCTGATGAAACTGGAATACTGTTCAAAGCGGCTTTAAACCCAACTCACTCACTCACTCACCATAACTCCTGTACTCTATCATGGCTCCTGTCGTCTATCATGACTCCCATACTCTATTATGACTCCCATACTCTAACATGGCTCCTATACTCTCTCGTGACTCCCATACTCTAACATGGCTCCTCATGATACTCTCTCATGACTCCCATACTCTAACATGGCTCCTATACTCTCTCATGACTCCCATACTCTAACATGGCTCCTCGTGACACTCTCTCATGACTCCCATACTCTAACATGGCTCCTCATGATACTCTCTCATGACTCCCATACTCTAACATGGCTCCTATACTCTCTCATGACTCCCATACTCTAACATGGCTCCTATACTCTCTCATGACTCCCATACTCTAACATGGCTCCTATACTCTCTCATGACTCCCATACTCTATCATAACTCTTTTATCGGTAGTTTATAATCATTAATAAGTTCAATATCTAATCAGATAGGTTCTGTGTGCATACGATGAGTCTATAACATATAATCTCGAGTTAATGCTATATGAGTTATATGGAAAGCACTTAAGTCATTTGTCTAACCTCTCTTCATTGCATACGTTCATTTACACGTCCATTCAAATACTCTAGTGGTAGAACGTCCGCCCGGAGAGCGGAAGGTCCGGGGTTCGATCCCCGGCCGTGTCATACCAAAAGACGTTAAAAGATTGTACTTGTTGTTACCCTGTCTGGCGCTCGGCGTTAAGGGGCTAAAACAAGGACTGGTCGGCTCGGAGTCAGTATACTGTGTCTGAGTGGGGTATTCATGTTAAACTGCGGCATGGTATCTCAGTGAGTGAGTGAGTGAGTGAGTTGGGTTTAACGCCGCTTTTAACAGTATTCCAGTTATATCGCGGTGTGTCAGATTAATGTGGGAGGAAAGCCCGAAATGATGCAGGTCTCAGACGTTTACCACTTCGGTGAAACCCACGAGCACGGGTATGGTGCTGACAAACCTAGAAACATAATCGGGGCGAACTGGGATTCGAACCCACAATCATAGGTTTCTGGCCTGCCCAAGGGACGCAACTTTGCACAGCGAATCGCGGCGCCTTAGATGACTGGCCACCCGTGCCCCCGTATCTCAGTAAGCGTGCACTTTAAATCGCCATCAGTCCGTACTAGTCCGTACTAGTACAAGCAGCCACACACACACACACACACACACACACACACACACACACACACACACACACACACACACACACACACACACACACTCACACACACACACACACACACACACACATGATGCACTGACAGACATGCCTCGGGGCCTAGAAAAAGGAGAAATACCAGGTTCATTAATCCGATTGTCAAAAACAACCTCTTTTTGTAATTACCCCCTCTTCAAGTAACCAGGTAGCAAGGATTACGCGTGACTAAGAAACAAAGTGTTAATTTTAATTATTCCAACTGGGGCGCCGTTTAAAGAACTCGCCCAATTCGAGGTAGATGTCATAAATACAGTTTGGTTGTTTTTCTTTCATACCCCTGAACATCTTGATTACATTGTATCTGTATCTCCTTTCAATCAATGGTCCCGAGGCTTGAATAATACACGTCGATAAGGATTTACCTGTGGTAGAATAGCGTTGTACATATCAGTACATGATTTGACACCAGAGATCATGTTCAGGTGGTGGTGTTGCCCATATGTTCTGACTGGCAGTGTCAGTGCTTAACACAGCTTGGGTACAGTGTACATAGCGTGACGCCCCTCCCAGGGGAAATATCTGCCCAAGCAAGGTGTGAATGTTGTCATTTATTCATTGTTGATTTGTATTATACATTCATTTTACGCGATGCGTCCGAGAGCTGTAAAAATCAATGGCTTCAGGTCTTTTGATGTTATTTTTTACTGCCTCATCAGTTTTACGTTACAATGAATTCTGTGGGTGAGAATGGTTTTTTGCCGCTTTTAGCAATATTCCAGCAATATCACGGCGGGGGACACCAGAAATGGGTTTCACACATTGTACCAATGAGGAGAATCGAACCTGGGCCTTCGGCGTGACGAGCGAACGCTTTAACCACTAGCCCACCAACGCGTCCATGCGTTCTGTGTTTCCAAATATATTTTTGTTTGAATTGTTACAAGAAGATTAGAAAGTACCATATGAAGTGCGATTATTCGTATAAAAAATATGATAATATAGTATGTACCGTATTCTTATTTTTTTATTAGGAATGTTATTATAACCATTGTCATTGTATTGTTATTATTAGTATTGTTGTGTTGTGTTAACTTCTAAACACATATGGGGCGGTGGGGGAGCCTTGTGGTTACAGCGTTCGCTCGTCACACCGAAGACCCGAGCTCCACCCCCCACAAGTTGTGGAGCCCATTTTTGGTGTCCCAGCAGTAATCCTGCTGGAATATTACTAAAAGCGGCGCAAACCCATATTCACTTAAACACTAAACGTATACAGTAAGACACACCACGACGTTTTCAAATACATTCAGTTCGAGTACTGACCCGTGAAGATCCGGCTGAGAATAGGTCTTCAGCAGCCCATCTTTGTTTAAGGGGCGACTATGCTTGACGTAAGAGGCGACTGACGGGATCGGGTGGTCAGGATCGCTGACTTGTTTGATGTATGTCATCGTATCCCAATTGCGTAGATCGATGCTCATAATGTCAATCACTGGATTGTCTGGTCCAGACTCGATTATTTACAGACTACCGACATATAGCTTGATTATTGCTGAATGCGGCGCTAAACAACAACAAACAAACAGTTCGCGTATCTTATGCCTGGGAGCATGAAATAACATATTACTTATGTGTCAAGTATTTAAAACCTGTTAATCTGAACATATTTGTAAGATCAAGAGATTAAACTCAACGCATTTAACTAAATACTAAAACATTGTGTAGAAGACAAACGGCAGAATTTCTGTTCATTGTGAACGATCACAATCGTCTGACCATCTAAGCAGCTTACACGCGAGCAGGAAGCGTGACGTATACCCACACATTCCTCCGCTATGAGGCTTGTACAGTTCGTTTCTGCTTCAAAGACCCCGATTAGCTTCTCCAATGCTCGCCGTGATGCTGTAATCGTCACAACTGGCCTTCTCTCCATCTAAGAGGATCGCTCAGTCGCCCTGCAAGTACGGCATCCCTCCAGCTATTTATAGCTCTGACTGTCCCCAAAGCCTTGATCGAACGTGTTGACTTCTCTGGTTCAGTCGATGCGACTACAGCGATCAAGCAACACGGACTGTTAGCATCCACATCACTGAACAAGGTAAACGATTTTATTCAGTTCACACAGCTATGTTTTGAAATATTGTCATGCCCGGTCTACGCTTATAGGGTTAAGGGCGGTGGGGCAAGGCAGTGCGGGATAGGCGTGTTGACAGTACCTGTGCTACGGACAGTGTTAGGCGTGCTGGGGTGCGGTCCGCTCGCATATTCGTTCTCTCTCAACATTGTCACATATTACCGTCTCAAGCAGGGATAGGGTACCGATTCTGCTGTATCCTGTTGCGAAGGCTGCCATTCTGAGAGGGTGAGTAGAGATCTATATGTCTACTTATTCATTCACGAACGACTGGTTAGCACACGACATTGTGCGTTAATGCGAAGCCCATGGCTATACTATAACGGATGAAAACGTGTATGTACACTTGCATCCATCGAGAACCGGTACACTGGCAGTCATTTGCACGCATCACCTGGCGTCTCCGTTAAAGACGATCAGGTTGACATGTGACAAAAGCATTATTCTCAATTGTTCAATTCTTGTGCGGCTTTAAATGTGCATGGTATTTTTATCCTCATGATGTAAGGTACTACTCTGTGTTACTTCCAACTTGTGTCTCAAATACAGGGGATCAGTATTGGCATTTGCAGAACACTGGCTTGATCACACAACCCTCTATCCCTTCACATCCACGCAGCCTACAAAGAGGCTTGAGCGACAGGAAATACACCGTCTTATGCAACACGCAACACTTGTTTATATTCCTGAATGTATAACACGCTGATGGAGGACAAGAAGCTAACCTGGGTGTTAGATGTATCTGTCGTAACAAGTAACGTAATGGTGTTCCCTAAACCTTCACATTTTCTTTTGGGCCATGTTCATAATTTATTTATTTTTTTAATAATAAAACAGATTAATAAAACATGGACAGTGTAGATTCAGCGTCAACGTACCTGTCAAAGCATCGATTTAAATAACTAAGAATTACAAATGAATTGTCACATCCTGAGCGGTTAAGAAACCTGTATTTCCCTGAACACCGCCACGCTTGAATAGGTCATTAGGGGTATTGATCTAAAATGGCGTCGGGCCTTGGAAAAAGATAAATACCAGGTTCATTAATCCGATTGTCAAAGACATCCCCCTTTTTGTAATTACCCCCTTTTTAAGTAACCTTACAGGTATAACGGATTATGTTGTGACGTCTGTCACGCGTGATAAAAAACAAAGCGTTAATTGTAATTATTCCAACTGGGGCGCTGTTTATTGAACTTGTCCAATTCGAGGTAGTTGTCATAAATACTTTTTGTTTTTTCTTTCATACCCCTGAACATCTTGATTACATTGTATCTGTATCTCCTTTCAATCAATGGTCCCGAGGCTTGAATAATACACGTCGATAAGGATTTACCTGTGGTAAACTAGCGTTGTACATATCACACCTTATCTTGTGAATTTCACCTAGAGGAAGATTTCCGTTTTTCCCTGCGGCATTTGGTGTCACTTTCAGTTCCATTTCGGCTAAAGCGCTCTGTGTAGAGAGGACGATAGTTCTACCGAGTGGAGACATTTTCTTTCTTAAACAATTTGAGTGTGTCTACCTGTTGTTTGCCTACCAGTAACGTTTCCATGATAGGTTGTCTCCCCTTTGCATGTCATCTATTTCCTTTGAGGGCCGAGACCGACATTCTCAATTGATTCGATGCGCCACGGATTTCCTCTTCACAGAAGAGCACGTAAATCTAGATAAAAATACATGACATTTATCCACAACGAGGGATTTCTTTTTCTGTTTCATGTGCCCCAATCGTGGATTTCATAAATAGTTTTTCCCACTTTTTCCGCAATGTTCTTGCATAATCGTTATCTGTTAAATGTTTAAACATCCTGGGGAGGCAGATAGCTGGTGCTTGTCGGAATGGCTGGCTCGGGGAACAAAGGCTTCCCCATCTTTTCACTAAGTGTGACCTTCTGTTCGATACTTTAATACTATCTTAATACTGCTCTGTAATGCATGTAACCACAAGCCCCGACGGTTTACATTGGCATCCCTTAAGTTGGAGTTGGTGTCAAAAATCAATGCGAAACTCAGCACCACGCTATAATCGCATATAAATCCACCCTGCTCTGCTTCTACGGCAAGGTGCATGACTGAGATAGCTTGATGTGGTTTTGGTGTAAGCATTTGGGAGTGTTCCGGTTTCATTCCTGCAGTATGTAGATAGTCAAGGCCGTTAAGGGTCTCGGTGCGTCCGGCGTTGTACGTCGCCCCAGGTGGAGTCAGGATGGATGCGGTGGGCCGATTATGAAGCCAAACTGCTGAAATGCTGAATCGATGGGTAGATTTAGGGACTGGGCGTAGATATTCTTAAGTTTGATTCAGCACATCAAAAGGATTAACTTCGATTCAGCAAAAACCTAATTGGAAGATTTTAGACAGAAAAATACTCTGGAGTTCAAATGCTAGCAAAGAAGGCTAACTGGGTGGGGCCCATGATCGACGAGGCGTTACCTATAAATGAGTGTACTACACGAGGTATATGGCTAAGTCTTTAATACTGCATCCCACGAGGCAGTTCATAACGAGGTGCCTAGGATAGAGTAAACACACGGCTAGGTGTTTTTTTTTATAAAACATTTTATCTTCAGGAGGTTTATAGCTCTGGTACACCAAGTAATAGTGTTGCTTTAGCAGCAAACTGGCGTGTTTTATGTCACGTATTGTTTAAACTTGAGACACCCAACACCCAAAACGTTGCTGGTGCCGAGTCACGACGCCTTATATAACACGTTTTGTGGAAACAACAATGCGGCAGTGTATATTATATATCCGGCACACAACACTACGGTAGTCATCTGTTGTATTCATCATCGCAGCTATGTTAGCCATTCCCTTGAGGCTGCTATGTTAAATTACGGAACTGAGTGCAAGTTTCTAAAATTACACTTGGGAAAGGCGGCCAAGGAGACTAAATAGAAATGACACCACAGTCACAAAATGCACATTCTTTTTGCAGCATGGCAATGACCTTACCAGAAATATTACTGCGGCCTTTGTGTAATGTGTTAAACACAGGCAGCATTTGTTTAGATGCAGAGGCGCCATCCAATGCCTTTGGTGGTTACATATATGTGGAGAATGCAGCACACAGCACTGTCATCGATCCTGGCCCAATGCCGCCACACACAGGTGTATTGATGAGGTGGTCCACAAGGAGAAATAAATAACAACAACGGACCTATGACACAACCTTGCCAGTTCCCAGGAACTTTTTTAAGACTGCAATCGAAGCCACCAACCCGCTTTGTTTTACTCGATTTCTTATCTTTGTTGTTATTTCAAGTTGTTGGACTAAAGGTGCGATGTTAGGTATATGTTAGCGTTCATGTCACGTTAAGTGCATTTTCTTGAAGAAACCCATCCGCAAAAAGTCAAACGCGTATGTTACATGTATTCTCTAAAAGCGTTTCGGTTCGCGATTGTCATGTAGCTATTAACGGTGATATATGCCTTGCAGCATACACTCGGATAAGTTCTATGACCAGCTCTATCAAGAAGTCATTATTCGTCAGAACAGGAATTATCTTGTCACTGATCTACTTAAGAATTCATCTTTGTAAACGTTCTTCACGTCTATTAGAGACAGGAGCATAGAATACCACTCAGCCATTAACGTTCTCGCTATTGAAGGTCAACAGCAGCTTGTGGATCCAGAAGACACCATCCCAAATCCGGCTCTTCATCTGTACCGTTATACCACCCGAGACATTCGTCAGACGCAGTAGCTAAATTCGAGTTAGGTCACAGCTTCAAACACACCGTCAAACACACCGTCAAACACACCGTCAGCCTGACCCGCCACTAATTTGATCATACCGAGTGGTCAAACTGGGCCCTTAGCAAGGTCATAGGTCAGGCTCTGATAATATTATCCCGACTAGGGCTGTAATGAGGGAGTCCCCGCGCCCTACGGCTGCCTAGGGGGGCGACTTGTGTTTAACCCAAAGAGTTGGGGCTTGATATTGTTGATAACTTAAGGTTGGAGACTGTACAGTATCTGACATTGACATCTGATTGGGCTTATTCACGGATTAATATGGCTTCTGTTAAAGAGTAATGGCGAGGGTACCTTACCGTGATGAATCGTGAGGGGCCACGGGTTGACCAGTCGTCTAAAGCGCCGCGATTCGGTGTGCAGAGTTGCGTCTCTTGGGCACGCCAGAAACCTATGATTGTGGGTTCGAATCCCGGTTCGCCCCGATTATGTTTCTAGGTTTGTCAGCACCATACCCGTGCTCGTTGGTTTCACCGAAGTGGTAAACGTCTGAGACCTGCATCATTTCGGGCTTTCCTCCCACATTGAGCTGACACGCCGCGATATAACTGGAATACTGTTAAAAGCGGTGTTAAACCCAACTCACTCACTCACTCACTGATGAGTCGTGATGTGTTTTTTTGTATATCAGAGCACTTTTTACTAAGAAAACAGAGAAGGTAACAGTCTCTCATACACACAGTTCTGTACTCCTTGTGTTTGACGTTAATACTGAAAAACAGCTGACCACTATATGTATAAATTCTCCCATAACTTTAGAAAATATTCGATTCTGTTTGAGCAAAGGTTTCAAATCACAAAAAACACCTCTGATTGAAAAGGTCGATTCGACGGCTCCATAACCACGGAAACTAAATTTTATTGGCATAAAACATAGACATATATATTTTATTTATGTGTCACATGTTGTATGTGTACACATTAGACATAAAAAACTTGCTTAAATACATACAACATCAGGCCATGAAAGGCCGATGCGACACAATGGACAATCAAAAACATTATTTATATAAAAGAATTATAAGTTATAGGATTGCAAAACCCGATAAAAATTAATTACAGTTTTAAGTAAGGAAAAGTTGCCTACGTGCAAACATGTTTTAAATAAGTGCGGCAAGAGGTTTTATATACGTGTTACAGTTCATTAAGAACACCGACTGGTCCACAGGAGAGAAGGAAATAAATATGGGATCAGACTTTATA